AAATGAATTTTCTTGGAAAGGAGAGAGTATTTGATTTAAGCAATATTTTATCATGAATAATCACAATAAGACTGAGAAGAAGGCACTGCTCTATATAAGTCCTCTCCATAAAAGGTGAGAGTAGACAGCGAACAAAATCTTCTAAACATTTCCGAAACTTTAAAGCACAGAGATGTACATATATTGGGATACTTTACTAATCCATTTATTTGCAGATTATTTTAGTGCTTTCTTTATGGCGAAATATGTTAGGTTTTAAAATCGTTTTATCTTCTTCAGCCCACTATTCCAAGATTTATGCTCCAACTCTCTATATTAAAATCTATAGATCAAATTAATGCTTTTACATGTAAAATTTAATTTATCAACGATTTGTAGATGCATGGCGCTGTCTATAGAAGTATATTAAACAATGTTACTTTAAGTATCAGGACTTGTGTATCAACAAGCAAATGTCTGAATTCTCAGTTTAATCACTGGCTCTTCACTCTTAAAAAATAAAATATTCAGAAGTTTACTTTTGATTTCTTTTTCTTTGAAATTACTTTTGACAAACTCTAGAAAAGAAAAGAAAATTATAAAAAGAGAATTTATTGTAGCAGAATTAGCCTTTTCCAAGACATTTATTTTATGCCTGAAAGCTCAATTTTAAAAGAACAAAAGTCGAAAAAAAATTTCATTTTATTTTATTAAGCATGTGAATATATTATGCATAATTGCATTACTCATTAATTGCATTAATTTTTAAAATATTCCCAGCATGTGATCAAATTTGGTTCGATGTTTAAGAATGACTTAATTGACTACTTCAAATGTATGTAAAGAACTTAAAAAGGGTGAGCTGGGGATTTCTTCGGGTTTTATTAATTACACAATTAGCCATTTCCTTTAAAGCTCTCCGCAGGTGGGCTACTCCAGATATCCAATAAGCAGGGACTTGTCATTGTTTCTAATACATTGTACCAATATATCATTGATGTCTTAAAATGACCAGTCCGTTGGCGAGGTAAGAACTTACTGCCAAATTTAAACATTTTCTTTAAGGTTCCTGATATTTAGGACACGGACACGAGGTTGACCCAAATATTATTAAGTGTTTTCTTATTTATATAAAAAAAATACTCCGGAACTATTCCAGACGGGGCTGAATTAAGAATTTAGATTTGTCAACAGTGTATCCTAAGTAGAAATCGACATTTTACTGTATAAGGTGAACGTGAAATGACTTTCTGTCTTAATATTTTATGGATATAAAATGAAAATGATTTTCATGAATCGAAGGAAATGGCTGCTTAACAAATTTCACAAACTTAAAACTTTTGTTTTAAACTTTCAGCTTGTTGAAAAAAGTTATCCTGCACATTATTAAAGCCATAATTATATGACGCATTTTTGATAAGTTGAGATAATCAATAATAAAAATATCTTTTTATTGTTTTATTACTTTATACGAAAATATTAATAATTTAAAGAATAACGGATTTATTTACCGAGTTCACATTTAAATTTAAAAAAGTCTTAAGTCAATTAAAGTATAAAACGTGAGGTTATTCAAGTTCAAAATCGGTAAAAATTTTAATTTATCATAAATATCGAATGTCGTGTATATCTACCTTCAATCTCCTATTATATTTTTTTTTAGCTCAGATACGTCATATATCAACCAACAAATTTAATTTATTTGCTTCTTTTTCCTTAAGTCTGACGTACGTTTGAATTTTGAAGTTTTTTTCATAGAATTACTAGCATTTTACAAAGCCTGGAACTAAAAGTTCTATTAGAAATTCCCCGTCAATATTTCAGTAGGAAAAGAGATCATTGAGGGCACACACATGACCGGTGGGCGTTTATGCTCAAGTGTGGTTGAAATTCTTTCTAAAGTCAATACTTACGACAACATTATTCAGAGAAACTATTTTAAAAAGTTGATATTTCGGAACCTCTGGTGAATTAAGCCATTGGTGAAGTGGAGATTTAAGCGTAACACTCAGGCAGAAAAATTCGAAGTATCTAGAACTTTGATAAGTTATTATACAAATAGATAATATTGTTTCATTGACAATGTATGCAAAGTTTTGCTTTTAATAACATTTCTTTGATTTTGTAATTCTTTTATGAGAAACTATATATATTTTTAGATTAGTGTATACCGAATAACATATTTCCACTATCACTTGATGCAACGTGACATAGAGACCTCGTTGTACGACACACAGAAAGGTAGAAAGGAAAGTAGGACGATAAACCCTGAATCGAAGTGAACAATACTGTACTAATATCAAACGAATCATTTATTTCTAGGATGGGGCAGTGATAATCAGAAATGAATTGATAAATAAGAACATTACGGATTCCCATTAAGAATATTGAGAAAATCCATTAGTCCCGTATCTCACATTCATCTAGGTGCAGGGATTTCTGTTTCGTTTGTCTAATTATTAAAAGCATAAAAACTAATGGTAAAACAATTATAATAAGGGTGACATAGCAAAAAATGTACTCCTTCAAATTGATTTTACATCTTTTCTTATTTTCATTTCTTTCGTTATTATTATTATTATTTTTTTGCAGTATATCATTTACTTTTGATATCGCTACTTTACTTGAATTCTCCGAGTTCTCTTTTGCACTGTTGGCTCAGTTTTATTTAAATTCAAACAGAAAAATCTGCCATAACTTTAGATAATCTTACTACATGAAACGACGTTTATTTTTTTCTTTCATGTCGCAACACAGATCTGATTTAAACCTCCAAAATGTTAAGTTTAAAATTGACAATGTCATAGTTACTTTCAGATTAAAAAAAACAATTACTTGAATTAGGGTTTGGTAGGATATTTAATGGCTCTATACAATGGTTTAGAATAAATTAAAAGTCTTAAAAGCATCCTGGAAAACACCTCAAATCAGGCATCCTGTCACAGTGGTGAAAACCAGATGGATGTAATCCACGGATCTAGGTGTGAATTTAATTATTCAGAGGTAAACAACAATTACCTTGTATAAAGAGTTGAGCAATGTTAGGCCATATTCACCTAAACATGGCAATAAACAGCAATATAAAACGACAATAAACACCAGACGAAAATATATTAACTAGGATGACGCTAAAAGTCCATTTACGTACATATAGATGTTATAGAGTTATATTGTACCATTGATCAGTAGAACGCAAACCTATTCTCAATTTCACAAAAACAATCGAAGATTGTATTGGTTTGATAAAACGAGAATTTTTATGGCTGTTTGTTTTAACAATCTTCTGTGAAAACATAAAAAAATACTTGTTATCTATCATTTTTTAAACAGATTTTTTCAAATGTTGATGTAAGAATAAATATCATGAAATGAATCGATTATAACATAACAGCCAGCATATTTTGGTTGGATCTTAAGATGGAATATGAAATAAATATTGCGATTACAAACATGATTTGAGTTAATACGTATAAAATTCGCCTTCTCAGTTGGACGAAACTGCTCAGTTTTGTTGACATTCTAGCATTGCTAAGCTGATATAAGCTTTTGAAGTTAGAAGTTTATGTCTCGGCTTTATCAAAAAGTCGATCGGGATAAGACAGAAAATATGTACATAAACCACTGCTTTATATGTCTTTATGGATATGAATTCTTCGGACATATTCCAGCAGTGACAAATGTGCAGGCATCATTTCAAAATTTCCCAGGGATAAGTAAGTTCGCCAAAAGGTATAGATCCATTGATTCTGTGAGAAGTAAATCGACCCTCAACTCTCTCCGTTAAAAACATATTCTTTATTTGATGATAAACAAGTGTAAAAAATTATTGAACCTTATCAGAAATTATTGAAAATTCATTTGCTGTAATTGGAAATGATTTCATTATCCAAGTTCATCGTCCAATTTATAAGTTTATAGTTCTGGTTTTCTTTATGATCCAAGTCCTTATTATATCTATATGAATATGAATGAAAAAGATTCGATATCTGGAATTAAATCAAAATTTTATCTGTCCCTATTCATAAAATTAATGTATTGGTGTTTTTCTGTTCTTATTCAATGCTTGTTTTGAATAAGAGATTTTGGACTTCTTTTTGCCCAGTTTACCATTTGTTGGATTTACAATTATGCATTCCCTTGTTTTTATAATGAAAGGGATTGTATGGATGATAAATTCCTTCTACAAATGAAAAAAAATTCACTTTGACATCTCGTTGTTCGATAAAGATCATCTTGCTTAGCCATTTTATGTTGGAAAATCACGTATGATTCATAAAATATGCTAAAAGGATAATCTTCGTTATTCTGAAGTAGATATACAAGATTTAAATCTCTTATTCATCGTGGGATTTTATTTTAAATAAATCAAGATTAAACACCTATATTTAAATACATATGTAATCATGTAAATTCCCATTCATGTCATCAAGCACCGAAATTATGAACTTTGAAATAATAGTATTTTTTTCCTATCCGGAAATTTTAGTTGTTGAGAAAGAACATTATTTGTTATTATAATGCCGGTTCACATAACAACTAATAATTCGACACATTCTGTTATTGACAACTAATAAAAGTTATTTAATTAATACTGGATAATGTAATGTAAAAAGTAAAAAATCATATATTTTTTTATTACTTAAAAAACAAAGCTGTCTCTATTTGTATTATTGGAAAACGTTTTGTTTTTCTTAGAGACGTTGATGTTCCGGAGTATCGCATTGATTCGTTCTGTGGCTCACTACCTAGAGAACTTCATATAGCTACTGAATTGTTTCCATCCAGAAATAAATGTCTTCGGTCGATAAATAGAAACTTCATAGAAAAAATAAGTTTTCTTGACTTCATAACACTCGGTACACTAACTTTACATTATTGATTGCAAATCAAATATTGGATTTCCTCTTCCTTAATATATGCTAATGTGTGGCAGTAGTTTAAATAAATACACCAGTGTTAAAATTAGATTTCAAATGTTTGAGATACTTGGAAGTTTATTGGGAGACAGCGTGTTGACTAATGCAGTATTTGTTTTTACAGTTGACTTGGTAACACTTTTCCTAAGAAAACTTCTCCTCTGGGGCCATGGACGTCGTTGCATTTCCTCGTTCTCATACTCAGCTGACGTTGAACGACCCAGTGTCCCCCAATACTCTGTGGAGAAAAAAGGAAAATGTTTCTCCGCTTCGCAGACAATTTACCATATCCATGCCATGGCCTCCCAAAGCAAATGATCGGAAAAGACAAACATTTTTACCAGATATCCAAGGAAATGCGCGACATTCTGAGAAAAAGATTCACTCGATGTCTTTTTTAACCAAGCAACAGTCAAGTGTACATGCCCCTCTTATAAAAAGACAAAATTCCTTGAAATCTGGTATTAATTCATACAACATAAGGTCTGACTCTGCCCAATCTAATGATGTCACGGATTTTTCCCGGACCTTCCAAACTTTGAATGACAATAAAAATTTAAATACCCCTATCGATCGATTAGGGTTTAAACCCATTCAGCGGAACGTCGATATAAAATGCGAACCCAGAACAGACTATCCAATACACAGTTTGATACCAGGAGAGAGAAGAGGTCCTTTAAACCAGAGTACAAGAAAACATTTCCGAATCATCAGAGTACTATACAACACGATGGCTTCCTTAAAACTGGACAACAGACAAGAACTGGCCTCTAATGATCATGCACGGCATCATAACAAAAGACAGCAGCAGTGGATACGGAGCGAACAAGTGAAAAACTGGAGAAGATCCTCAGTGAATAAAGCTTCAAAAAAGACAGGGTATACCAGTGGCAGTTCGTCTGGACAGAAGTCTGACGTAATTAGTGGAAACTCTGACGATACAATTCACACCACCTCCAGTCAAGGAGAAAATAACCACATCTTTGAAAATCCCATGGATGCTGAAATGAAGGAAAGTTTTCACAAATGCCTAAAATGGATGGAAAATTTACCAGAAAAATTCTCCGGAATGCACATTTTTACCCCATCTGTTAGTGACTGAAATTCTGGCGATGGGATTTTTAGTGTAGCCAAATTTCCCAATTGGAGCTTAATTATCCAAAATGGGCGACCGCTCCTAACCAAAGAATCAGCCGGTCTGATTGAGAAGCGAAGGTTTGGTCTTCCATGTCCTGGAGACGATGCCTGTGCCTCCTCCTGCCAGTAGAAAGCACGGTGCTAATTCATCCCGACATCCAATACAGTAATTGCTGGAAGATAACTGTGAACGATGCTTATGAGTTTCGAACAAAGTTGAAAATATAAGCTTTTGTGATTTTTTCGAACAATCAAAACAATTTATTTATTTTATTTCGCAGACACACATTTCCAGTTGGATTTGGACGTTTTGATACTGCAGGGACATACATTTACGTGATGCTAGTCAAGACAATTAATTAATTAGCCATGGAATTGTCATATGTTTTTCATATTTATCATTTCATACATTAAAATTATCTTCCATGTGCCAAACTTAAATCAAATTATTTAGTTTATTGATAACCTCTATTTGCTCTCACGTGTTTGACCTCTTGATGTTTAATTAAATATGGACTTGTACATTTAAATGAACATTTAAAACTGGTCTATTTTGATACCACTTATCAAATTCCAAGTATTTACGACTTCTGTTGGTATTTTCACATAAATATTTCACTGACCATTTTCTGATAAAACTTACAAAGTAATGAAGTGATAACTTTCAATTTCTGGAGAGCAGTTCCAACTTCTTCTGTCGCTGTTCCAATATTTCTCTCAGATTACTTTAACAACAATGTCTTACTTCAATTACTGCTGTGATAAGTATGTTATATATGTTGATTTGATTGTTAAATGCAATAAATGTTATATACGTTTCAATAGTTTGTTTTATCGCAATGACAAGAGGATTTGTATGAACAGTGGCCTTGTATTGAGCCTTTGGAAAGTTTGACATAAAAGATTATTTGACAACAGTTAAATGGAACCTAAATAAGATTCCTAATGCTGAGTAAAACTTTTAATAAGAGCGCTGATCATAAAGAGTAAAGAACTTCATACAAGACACGAGGAATCCATTTTAGTGGATATAATGGGAGAGCAATGATTGGAGAGTAGTAAAACTCTTGAAAGAAACATTTAAAAATTTCAAATTAACTTCTCTGATGAGCAGAAAAGTAATGTATTCACAAATATGCACATAAAAACGCACAACAAGGAAGAAAAAACACATGTATTTTTTTCATTCTTGCGAATCAGAAAAATAAAAAAAAATGAAAATGTTCCCCTAATTTAAGGAAACCCGAGCTCAATGCGACATTGGTGCTGTTACTTCTCTGTAACAGGATATTACTGAGAATCAACGTTAATGACACACAAGAATTTGGTTAATGACTAGAGTGGCTTTTAAATTCTTTTTCTCTTTAAAAATAAATATATTATCACATTAAGTCAAATTTAAATATAAATCTTTTTTTTAAATTGGTAACTGTTACATTTTGTTCCAAATACGAATAAAAATGACGATACTTGGAAATAGGGGAATGTTCGCTAGAAACTCGAACGATCTCCTTGATTAAACACTAGTGCAGTATCTGTATATATTGGTCTACAGGAACCAGGGCTTACTGCTTAATCATGCCGTATTAGGATTTAAATTCGGAAATCAAATATTGTGACTTTTATTTATCTTAGAACTACCTATGTACAGTGTTGATGTGACGACTCAATTAATAGCACACAGGAAAATGATGAGAGTAACACCAGCCCTTTCTGACAAATGAAAGTGCATTGATTAAAAGATATAAAGCACAATTAACATACATGTATATAAGAAGAGGGCCAATTTCACTAGTTTAAGTCAAAATTAATTTCATGAAAATATATTTTAATTTTATTCTTGTTTATGCTATCTAGATATATATCTCATTAAAGTTCATAAATTATTTTTCATTATGAACATCCTTTGGATTAATCAAGAGAAATAATAACAATAGTTAGTATCAATGGATGTACTTTTATCATTGGAACCTCGATATTAGAATTTAAAGTAACAACGATTTTAATGAATGAACATTTACTAAGAAAATATCAATTTTTGCAAAGTTCCACGGAATAACACAAATGAATTAGAAGTGTTGATGATATATGGCCACCAAGTAATTATAACTACTCCTACTACCTCTGATTCAGGTGAAAACACAAAACAAATAGAGTAAGTCGTTATTACACTTTTTGCGATCAATTAGTGATAATCAGTTTGACAAATAATCAATTTGGTCGCTGCTCTCCCGCGACGAATGGGGCTTTCAGCATAAGCAACGTCGATTGCTGTGGAACGCAGCTTAAGATTTGCATACAAGGTGAAAACATATTTATAGGAACAGTAGAGTTGATCCCAGAGATAAAAGAACATAACATTCATTTATTAATTGTTCTTTGGTTCTTGACGAGTAGGAAATATAGATCGCTACACTTCATATTGCTGGGCTTTCTTGTTTTTCAAAGTGTTTTACATGAAATTAAATAAAATCAATAGAACGTATGGTGTCGAGCATTTTATTAGTTTGTCAAAAGTGATAGATTAAAAAGAATCGAAAATTTTAATTATAAAGTTGAAAAAAACCTTTGGATAGAGTTTCAATATCCAAAGATTAGTAAAAAATCATTCGTACGTTTCGGAATAGATTTCTCTTCGCCAAGAAATAAGATTCGATGTTTTGTGTAAATAAAACTTTACCGTGCATCTAGAAGTATCTCTTCATGCATGCTATCACTAACCAACGCAGATCTTCCTTGTTTGCCTAAGAATCAGAAGAATACATACTACCTATGGACTGTCGCTCGGACTTAATTGCTCTTCTTTTCTTTTGTCAGGTTTTATCATGTATTTGCTCTTCAAAGACAACTTCAATGATTTCATTTTGTAAGAGAGCAAACAAACCAGACAGTTTAATCCCTCTCTGTGCATTTTTTACAGTATATTACTTGGATATTCTGAAGCACTGCAAATTTTGAAAGAAGGGAATAAGTATGATATAGAAGACGGTAAAATTATCACCTACTCGTATTTTTTTTTATGAAGCAAGGTATAAATCATAGAAAGAATAGAATTGAAAATTGCAATATTTTTGTTTCATATTTGATCCATTAACCTTGTTCTCCAATAGACAAATGGATTTAATTTGTCAGGCAGGAGATTTTTTCAAATTTATAAATTAGAATTTTATTTTCAAACCAGAATAACCCGGTGACACAGATTAAGTGAGACATTTTACTTACAATGTTGGAGAAATTTGTTTTAAAATCAAAACCATTTAAAGGTAGACTTATCTGAAGAGAAAACAGTTTGAGGACATAGCGGTGAGAAAAACCAACATATCGACATTCTTAGTTTTGTTGCTTATTGTAGTTCGTGTCTTCTCTTTGTAGTCTTCCTAAAGATTTAAGCATACAATTCACTCCTCTTGTACACCCACTTCTGTACATCAACAAAAGAACGGGCTGGAATCGTCTACTTAGGAAAATTGTCTTTCCCCGAAGAATTAAGTCTCAATCAAATCTTTGGTGTCAACAGTGGAAAATTCACAAGCTAGGAGCATCAACAATTCCTATTTATCTTGGATCAATTTTCAGGTCAAATCTAATTTTACCTACTGTAACTTTGTCATTGATTGTATGGAAATGTCTTGAAATTGTGTAATGTAAACTTGAACAGTTAAATATAGAAAAGTTGGGCCTTGTGGTCCGTTACATCAAAGAGTCAACAGTAGCTTCTGACGCTATGTAAAATTAAGGAAAACATCGGTTCAGTTAGATTAATATAACAATCTGAATACCAAACCGAGCTTTTTCTTATTCATTCTGTTCATTATGATCTGTCAATATGTTACCACAACACCAAATTCGTCTGGAAAAATGAACAATACAAATCGATGTTGCTTTACTACACCTCTATTACATAAATTGTTGCAATGTAGATATGCGCGTTTATATACTTTCAAAAAATCAGAAGACTTTGTTTAGTTTAAGCGTGGATTATATGAATATGAATGAAATGGGATGAAAGTATTATTGTGATGCATGAACATAACGAACAGAAGTCAAGATCAAAAGTCCATAAAACAATAAGAAATAGGAGCAGAGCAAACACGGACCTCCAAAACATCATAGGTGGGATCAGGTGCCATGGAGGAATGAGCATCCCCTGCTGACCGGTCACACCCGCCGTGTGCTTCTTGTCATGATCGGGAAATAACGGGAAAATCCGTCGTCAATTCAGTGTATAGATAATGGACTAACAATAAGTATGAAAAACGTGAGTCAGCATTTGACTCAATGAAAAATTCCGTATGCAGGTGATGAAGGTATATTACTGCATAAGGAAGTTGACGATAGAAAAGTTTAAGTCATCACGTTTATCATAGACCTTGGTTTTCAGATTACCATTATCGTCTTTTTCAAGTAAAATATCCAAATAGGCAACAGAAGTGTCAGACTCTGAAAGATATGGTTGTATTTTTGTATAGCTGTACTTTTGTGCATGTAATAAATAGCTATGATTTATCAACTGTAAAAATATCCTGTCTTCTCTGAACATGCTTATTTATTCACTTGGCAAAAAAACCAAAAATCTATTGATATTGTCATGGGTACTTATTCCTCCCTATATTAGCAGATCAATTATGTGAAGCAGGAATTATTCAAAAACTTCTAGATGAAAAGAATTTATAATGTGGCTTTCAATTCGACAGTTAAGAAACATCGACGACATTTTATCAATTAAAAATATTCATTTTCTACGTTAATTTTAAGCTACCACGGAGTTTAACCTAACAGTTTCACATTTGGATATTATGATATTTTACAACATAAATACATTGATGGCAACCACACAACAAAACTTTCGGATAATGGTGATGACTTTAACTTTTCTATTGTTAACTTCCCTTGACTATGTAGCATATAACATTAAATATCACTAGTATATGGAGTTTATGTCTCCCAATTGATTCAATACTTGAGAGCATGTTCTACAGTGTATATACAGAGAATTTCTGAAAAGAGGCAAACTTTTTGCAAATAAGTCGTAAATCCATGGCACATGATAACTCTCTGAGACCCGACCTTTCTCTGATCCAAATTTGCCCATTGGACGCTTGAGCTTGATTTTAACTCGTTATCTTATACTTCATTCAGGATCTTACCGCTATTCTATACCAAATTTTATTTTGTGCTCACAAGTCATCAGCTTCCATCTCCGATTTCTCCAGAGATCCGTGTTTTGCCGTGTTCGGGAGTTGCATTGTCTATAGAATTTATGCGATTGACCGTTGCTCACCTGTTTATCAATAATCTAGGACCTTCACTGAATAAAATGTACTTTTGTGCCGAGTATAAACTACTTAAGTGCTCGTTTTCAGTTCAAAATGATGGGTTGTACAAATGTTAATGGATGTAGACAGAACAAAGTTCTGTCTATCAGCAAATAATGTGTCATGTGCAGGCAGTATTCGAGTTCGATACAATTTTAACAGTTTTGTATTCTGTTAATAGTCAAAGAAACAAAATAAAAACAAAAACAAAAAACTAGGCTACTCAAATTTTCATTTTCAAATTAATATGCTCCCTATTTTTTTTTTTCACTCGAAGGCCCCAGAACTTATTTTGATTACTATTTATGACATAAACTAAGTACTTTATTTCCTTGTTGGACATTGGAATCATTGTCCATCAATTGTTATAACTCTTTCTATATGTATCAACATCCAAAACAAGTTATCTCATTATCTCATTATTATTATTTCTACCAGAAACGCAGTCATACCCAAAACAGGTTGCAACCTATAAATGTACAGTATTTTAATTCTGTAACAAAAATT